TTTGTTGAAGAGATGGTCTTTTTTCCATTGGATGTTCTTTCCTGCTTTGTTGAAGATTAGTTAACCATGGATTTGAGGGTCCATCTTGGGTTCTCTATTCTGTTCCATTGATCTATGTGTCTGTTTTTGTGCCAGTATCATACTGTCTTGATGATGACAGCTTTGTAATATAGCCTAACGTCCAGAATTGTGATGCCACTAGCTTTGGTTTTCTTTTTCAACATTCCTCTGGATATTTGGAGTCTTTTCTGGTTCCATACAAATTTTAGGATCATTTGTTCCAGCTCTGTGAAAAATGTTGATGATATTTTGATAAGGATTGCATTAAATGTGTAGATTGCTCTGGGTAGCATAGACATTTTAACAATATATTTTCTTCCAATTCATGAGCATGGAATGTTTTTCCATTTCTTTGTGTCTTCCTCAATTTCTTTAACAAGTGTTCTATAATTTTCAGAGTTGAAATTCTTTACCTCTTTGGTTAGGTTTATTCCTAGGTATCTTATAGTTTTTGATGCAATTGTAAATGGGATCAATTCCTTAATTTCTCTTTCTTCTGTCCCATTGTTAGTGTTTAGAAATGCAAGTGGCTTCTGTGCATTGATTTTATATCCTGCCACGTTGCTGAATTGCTGTATGAGTTCTAGCAATTTTGGGATGGAGTCTTTTGGGTTTTCCACATAGAGTATGTTGTCATCTTTGAAGAGTGCAAGTTTGACTTTTTTGCTGATTCGGATGCCTTTTGTTTCTTTTTGTTTGATTGCTGAGGCTAGGACTTCCAGTACTATGTTAAACAACAGTGGTGAGAGTGGACATTCTTGTCATGTTCCTGACCTTAGGGGAAAAGTTTTCAGTTTTTCCTCCTTGAGAATGATATTCACTGTGGGTTTTTCACATATGGCTTTTATGGTATTGAGTTATACTAAGTACACGTACTTGCTATCTTCAAAATAGTTATAAAGATCCAAAGTAGAAGGCTGATCCAATTGGCAATGCATTTTCACCTCAGGTTGGACTATTTGTACCCATTCCAACTTTCTCGTCTATTATTTTGACTGCAACTGCAAAGCCAGTGTGAATGGACTCAGCACTGCAGACACAAGCAAATGATCCTTTACCAAGCAGATTTCCAACTTTCAAATTTCCTACCTTCTCTCCCATACAGGACACATGTTTCCAGACACTGGTTTTGCTCCTATTAAGCTCAGTTCCCATTAGGCTAAGTTTCCATGGCTACAGTTCCAACGGAAAAAAACACAGCCACAAAAAGGTCTCCAGGACATCTTCCAAGTCAGGAATATGCCTCTGAACTTCCATTTTAGAAAGCTAGGGCTGGCTGACAAAATAGCAGTAATGGGAACAAAAATACCACCCTACTAATGGGAACAAAAATACCACCTCTCCTTACTACAACATAATAAAAAATTCATGCATAAGTTGGAAATTTTAGGGAATACCCATGCAATCAAGTACCCAATACTTATATTGCAAAGGTCAAGAGGAGCAGAGTTCCCATGTACAGACAGTTTTTCCTTTAGGGGAGTTTTTACTCTGTAGTGGTTTGACAATTCTGGAGTCAGTTGGCCTGGGTTTAATCTTTCTCTTTGCCATATACTAGCTGTGTAGCTTTTAAAAGACACTGAACTACACTGGGTCTCAATTTCCTTAAAAGTAGCTAGTGCTTATCTCATTGGCTCATTGAAATAATTAAGTGAATTGATATATGTAAGCTCCAAATAGGAGTTTTCTATATTGTCAGAGGCATTGGAGAGGGATTCATGTGTTGTATGGGCCATTGTATCTCAGAGTTGGCAAGAACCTTAGAGACCAAGTGCATGTTTATATGCCAAATTTTTAATTTGTTTGAACTTCTAATTTTTCAATTTTTTTTTAAAGATTTATTTATTTATTTATTTGTCTGAGAGAGAGATCACAGCAGGGGGAGCAGCAGGGAAGCAGGCAGAGGAAGAAGCAGGCTCCCAGCTGAGCAAGGAGCCCGATGTGGGACTCCACCCCAGGACCCTGGGATCATGACCTAAGCTGAAGGCAGATGTTTAACCAACTGAGCCACCCAGGCGTCCCTCAATTGTTTAATGTTATTTTAGACAATTCTGTGGAAATGAATAAATGAATAAATTCCTATCTATAGCTCATGGCTCACAATAAGAACTGTACATCTCTATGCATTAACTCTTACAGAATGGTATAAGGAGTCCAGACTGTATGAATTCCCTCTGTATCATGTAATATTATATCTAATATATTAGAGTGAGAAAAAACATGATATGGATTATATGTAAGGAACTTCAATCATTTATTGAGCAAAAGTTAATTATAGAGGGAAGGGTGAAAGGAACACTTTTCCTTAATATGAAAAAGATACTTATTATTAGGTAAGTTTTCCTCACTTATGGAAAACAACGTGTGGGGAATATACCGGTATACACTTCTGATTTTACTAACACAGAGTGGGATGGAATTATTGTTAATTCTATTCAAATGGAACCCATGTTACTAAGAATCCACTGAATCTAGCTAAAATCTTCTCTTATGATAGTAGACTACCTTCATCTTCCAGTAACTCAATGACCCCTCCCCCAGGAGCACTCACTGTGATGAGCAGAGGCCACATGACATGGATGCAAGAATACCAGGACTTCTTTAGAAACATATCCAGTATTTTATTGTACATCTTCCAGTCTAGAGATGAGTGAGTTAGAAGAAAAACAAGAATCATGATTTCTATTATTTGGACAGATAGAAGAGAATAACCTCTGAGGAACAAGCATCCACCCTCTTTGTGAACTTGAAACCTGGTTTCAGTCTGTCTATGACCTATCTAACAACAGTGTTGTGTTAGGGACAATGCCCCCTCCTTCTCCCTCCCTCTACCTACTTTTCATCCCTACAAGCCTGATATATGTGATGTTCTTAAAGAGAAGATGTGGGTGCAGCATCTGGCTGAGGGAATCAAAGATGTTTTGCATGTCAAGGTGATTCATTACTAATTAGCTAAACCAACTCTGGAGGAGAAATTCCTGGTGTGTACCTTTTAGGTATGTAGTTGTGAAGCCAGAGTGATCAGTGTGGAAGACAGGACAGATAAAAATCTTAACTTGGAGCCAATAAATGATCCTTAGCAATTTACTTACTTATATTCTAGTAGTACTTTGTAGTTTCCTAAGATTTCAACACTATATTTCATTCAGTAATAACCTTGTGAATGAAGCAGGGCAAGAATCATGATGCTCATTGTACAGAAATACAAAGTGACTTGCCTGAGGTCACAAAAGTGATAGATGTGCAAAATGGAACCCACATGTTAGTCTCCTCTCAGTTTAGTGCTTTCTGAACTGCATCAGGTCCTAAGACGTGATGATCTTTCCGGCCAACCCTTAAAAATTACATACATGTATTTGGTCTGCATGCATACATTCATGCATGCATGCATACTTTTTGTTTGAGAGAGAGAGAGAGAGAGCATGTGCGCATTGCACCTGCATGTAAGCGGGGAGTGGGGAGGGGCAGAAGGAGAGAGAGAATCTTAAGCAGGAACCACGCACAGCATGGAGCCCAATGTGGGGCTTGATCTCATGACCTAGAGATCATGACCTGAACTGAAATCATGGGTCTGACGCTTAATTGACTGAGCTACCCAGGCAGCCCCATACTTTTTTTCATTGTAAACTTATATATGCTTATTGCAGAAACACTGACAGGAGAATAAAGAAGAAAATGTGTCCCATGCACCTAAAAACTATTACCGTTGACATTTAGTATATTTTCTCCACAATCAAGTGAAATTTTGCTATAAGCGGGGAGATTTCATCTATTTCATTGGGTTAGGGTGTATTTGAAAAATAATGTTAAAATAGTTTTTAGATGTTTGCCCTTAGAAATATGTGACTACATTTCCTTCCTTGACTCTGCTTGTGTGCACTCAACCCATCTCCTCAATCTGGGCTTTTGATGAATTGAAAGTTCTTGCTGATTCTGCATTCAGGTAACTGTTGTGCCTTTTTTCTCTTCTCATCTTTAATAGCATACCCAATCTCTAGCTAATCATTTTCTACTACCTCATGAGATTCTGTCAAGTCATCTCATTTCCTCCCCTTCTCCTCCCCAAGTTCCTTCCTCTTGAACCTGGTCTACATCCAGTCCAGTGAAAAGGATGAATTGTCAACAGACTTAAGTTCTCCTCCAATTTATAAGTAATTGTGTGACCCTAAGTGAGCAACTTCACTCTTCTGAGCTTCACCTTTGTCATCTTTAAGATGAGTCAGGCTCATATAATTTGTAAGCTCCTCTCCAGCATTCTTAGATTCCATTATTAAGTAAATTCATGCCAGACTGTGAGTGCCAGATAACCCTGACCTCCCAGGAGAAATTGTATTTCAAAAGTGACCTCTTCTTGTTAGTCCAGGTTAATTTATTCATGAGGTCACTCAATCTTTTGTATATTCATTCAACAGATATTTGTAAAGTATATTCTAAGGTTGGGGGAGGCATGGGTCAGTAAATGATAGAGTATCCCTGACATCATGAAGCTTATCATGTAATGAGAATATGGACAAGTACACAGGTAATTATAAACAAGTGTGATATTACTGTAGGGAAAGTACAGGAATCGATTAGCCATGCTAAAAAGTAGCAGTGTAGACTAGGTCTCATCTGGAGAAGTATTTATTTATAGTTATGAATAAAGCAACTTTTAGACATTTTATTATATCATATCAATTTTTATTGAATTCATCATTATATTCTAATTACATAATATAGATTATAATACATCTAATATAATTTTTTTATTATATTCATACGAGGTAGACACAGATACTGGAAAAGCATTTTGAAATCTTTTTTTTTTAGATTTTGAAATCTTTTATAAGTACTATTAAAGAGTTGTGTATTATTAATTCATGGGTCTGATATAATGAGCAGTGACACTGATATAAATATACATCTTTGTCTTGACAAAATGTGCCCTTGTTTGAGTTACATTAATTATCTCTCAGCAGGAAGTTCTCAGTTGTACCTCTTACACTCTTCAGGAAAGTCATGACACTAGTGCCTCCAGTTCCTTTACTTTCTTGCTGGTTTGAAGGAATCACAATGTACTTAGTTACTATCTGCAGATGATAGTTTCTCAGGGAGACCATAGCTTTCACACACTCATTATAATCTGCCTGCAGCTTATCATCACCTTTTGAAAGAACAAATTTACGGACTGAGGGCCCTGACTCTAATAAGAGAAGAAATTCCTGGTGAGCCGGTGGCATATATTTTCTCATTTCCTGGAGGAATCTGGCAGCAAATTCTGAAGGAACAAGAGAGAGATTAGGTAGTAGGGAAGTAGGGAAGTAGTTGGTAGTAGGGAAGCCATTCCCCAATCCAGGTAAGAAGGGCAGAGTGAGGTCAGAGTGGGTAGGAGATCACATATCACCATTGCAGCATGAGGCAATGAGAATGCTATTGGTCTTGCTATCAGTAATGATAATTATTGAAATATATACTTAATTCTGAAAACCACATGAGCTGAACTCATTCTTTCAGAATAAAGTTTTTTGTTTGTGTGTCCTTTCTCACTTCCCTACTGTAGTTGATCCTTCTAAAAAGCTGATGATATAGATAGGGTGTATATAATCTATACTTGACCAATCATGACACTGAGTCTGAGAGTTTAAGGGACAATTTTTAAATAAATGAATTAACTAAGAAAAAAAGGATATTTTCACCTATGCCAATGATTTTCCCTTTGACTATTAAGTAGAAGTTTAAGAAAACAGAGAAAAGTACAAAGTTCTTATCGGAGCTTCTTCTGCCTGCTCTAAACCCCTAGAAGGAATATAATGAATGTGGTTCATCTTTTACCTTTGGTGCATCTTTCAGTTTGAGCTGCTGGGGCAGTAAGCTGATCAAGAGCAGTGCCAAGCCTCCCCTTGTCACTGATGTCTCTACCCAACTTCTGTCCCATCCCATTTGCAGGTGACTTTCTCTTTCTGAATCTGATCGTACATTTTCAGAACATGTGCTCTGGGCTTCCCCACAGTCAATCAGGTCTTATATATATGCCCAAATGTCAAGACTGAGAGGGTGATGAACTTGGGTTTTGGTTCTGATTTCACTGCTTTCTAGCTGGTTAATAAGGAGCCCATCACTTATCCTCTAAAGAAACTCAGAAGTTCCTGCTTGGTTGTCTGTGAAATGGGATGATGACAATATAGTCTTGCCTTACTAATTCTTCTAAAAGTATCAAATAAGCTCGGATGAGATGCTGATGAGAAGTTACTTTCTAGATATTAAAACACTATTGTATTAACATATGAGATGATTATTATTTGTCATTGTCCACTCACCTTCACCAGAACTCTGCTGGATGCCCAGCAGAACATCGAAGCACTGAAAGATGCTACTTTGGGCTGCACTGCCCCCCGCAAACTCCTTTGGAGTGTCCCAGAAACCTTCATACTTCAGACCCTCTGGCAGTTGGGAGTTGCCTTTCCATCTAGGCCAGGAAGGAAAAAAATAATCACTATTGGGATAATTGCCAAATTTTCAGGTATAAAATCTTATAATAGAAGATGAATGGAAAGTGATATGAGATCAACTTCATTATTCTTCCACACTCTCCTTCCATTCATATTCATGTTTGAGAGTGACAAATAACATGGTTCTGAACAAATCTGGCATAAGTATTCTATAAATGGAACTTTACCTTTGCACTAGCAAAGATCATTCCTTTTTTTTTTTTTTAAATGACTGCCTTTCCTGTCCGTAACAGTCTATTCTTCCTCTGCAAAATGTATTTTATGATAGGAGTTATTTCCTAAACCCGATGGACAGTGGGGACCATCAGTGGGAATTTGATGTGTTCTTTATGTTAATTCTTTAAGAGAAAACAAATTCAAGCATAAGATTACATACCCGGACAAGTATATGCGAAGAACATTGTAAAATGTGCTGGGGTCCACATATTCTGTAAAAAGATGAGGTGTGTTTAAGCAGTTATCAGACTTTCAGAGGAGATCAAGATATTGTAAACAACTGATAGTGGGTTTCAGTTTAGGCTGCAGGAAAGGCATTATGTCAGCTGGTGCAGAAGAAGTCCCTAACTACAAGCTCTCACTCACATGACCTTTTTGAGGGGAGCCCCCTGTTCACTGAACAGGGTCTACCGTAGGGGTGACACACAGCCTGACACACAGTCAGGCCCACCTGACTCCTCCTCAGGAAACCAATTAAACTGTCAACGTTTCTTTAAAGCTATTTCATATGCTTACTGATAGAACAGATAAACTGCTTACATAAAGAAACAAACCTACACAAAATGAAAAACAGAAATAAGAGCCTCAGGAGCCCTATGGACACCATCCCTGGGTCTCCCTCCCCAAAGGTTACTAACTCTTCTGATTTAAAGGTCAATCTTTTTGCCAAGGACCAATCAGCAGTAACACAATCACATATTGTTAAGGCTGTCCAGCAGGGCACACTTTTTTTTTTTTTTGTAAATCCTTGTTTAGGTACTTTTTAGTTATTGCTGTTTTTTAGCTGTTAATTTTGAAATAACTTCTGAGCTCAGTAGTTTTTCTATGTTGTTTCTTACTTATCTTGTGAAAAAGCAGAATTTGTAGGGAGTTCCTATAAAGCAGAAGCTAAGTATTTCAGAACTTAAAACAGCCTGAACCTTCCACAAGTTTCTCCATGGTTTCAGTGGAAGGCAATGACATTATTTAGAGTTAAGGAGACCGGGCTTCACAATTTACTACCTGTGTAACCTTGGGCCACTTATCTTATCTCTCCATTAGATTACCTTATCCATAAAATGCACATAATAAAACCTACCACAGGAAAATATAGTTATTTAGTGAGATAAAGGGAAAAACATACCACTAAGTGAGAGTGTTTTTCTTCCATTTTCTCAACAACTCTAGTCTCAGAAAATCAGAAGCACGTGACTGCGAGCCTTGAATGTTTTCAGGCATACAATATTTACCATTAATTTGTTCAAACTCTTTACGGGCTTGGCGCAGACAAGAAGCTATATAACACAGTGCTTTTTGCAAAGTATCCTGGTCCTCATTTTTAACTGCCTTGAATAAATCAGGAATTACCTTAAAGAAAAAAAAAAAGATGAACATGTAAGGTTTCCTAGCACTAAATATTGGCATAGAATAAAATTCTCCTAATTCTTAATCCCTAAATTAAATGTTGGATTTCCACTTCATTTTTGGGCTGAGAACCCTTTTATTGTTTCACTAATTTCCTTATATTTAATTAAGCTTGGATTTATTTTTATTTATTTATTTATCGTTTAGTTTTATATAGTCTCAGTTCTATTTCTAATAGTCAAAACCATTAGATTCATGTCACTCTGTGATCTAGTTTCAATGCCAAATTGCATTAAAAATGCATCTCTCCTATTAAGGTATTAAACTTAATTCTAAATATATGGATCTTGGGGCACCTGGGTGGCTCAGTCGGTTAAGCGTCCAAATCTGGATTTCAGCTCAGGTCATGATCTCAGCGTCAGGAGATCCAACCCCACATCGGGCTCCACGTTGCTGGGCGTGGAGCCTGCTTAAGATTCTTTCTCTCCCTCTGCCCCTCCCCACTTGTGCTCTCTCTCTCTCTCTCTCTAAAATAAATAAATAAATAAATAAATAGGTCTTATGTTTTATATTTTAGGTGATACACAAAAATAAATAAAGTATTTCTACCAGATGATCCCTTATATCCAATTAACTAATTGAATGCTGTATTTAGTCAAGATAAAGTTATTTCATGCATAATATAGTTCAGTTACTAAGGGATCGCTCTGCTTATGCAAATGGAGATAAAAATTTGCTATTCGGGATGGACTTACTTTGATTGCAGAAGCAGCTGCTATCTCCACCAACAGTGAAACCAGGAAAAATCCTTTACTGCAGTCTCCACCAGGAAACCAGAACAGAATGTCCATGTTCCTAGGAAAATAAGTCAAGGAATTCAAGAATTTAGCAAAAATACTGGTGTATTTGAGTGCTTTGCAGTTTTCAAGTATTTTTATTCCATTTTAATTTTAAAAAAATCTTGTGAGAGAAGTATGATAGGTTTTACTATCTATGTTACATTTTTGGGAATATGAGGGTTAGGTCCATTGTCTAAGATCTAATAGTAGATTAAATTGGGACTTGAAATTCCATTTTAGAATTTGGGACTAGAAATTCCAAGACTATTTCTGTTTCTATTCTCTCATTAATTTTTCACATGTATGTATATTACCGTATTTATATATTTATACATATTCAATGCTTATAGAGACATTTGTGAAGTATAATTTTAAGTAGTCTTTTTGCTACTAAGTAAATATATTTATATCCATATTTTTATCTGTGAACCTGATTCAATTTTTCAATGGTTTACCTGCTTTACAAAGAAATCGGGAAATGCAAATAACTGATTAGACCCTATTTTCTTTCTTTTTTTTTAAAAGACTATTTATTTATTTATTTATTTTTTAAGGACTTATTTATTTGTGAGAAAGAGAGATAGAAAGAGAGAGCACAAGCAGTGGTAGGGACAGAGGGAGAGAAAAAATCTCAAGCAGACTCTGCCCTGAGTGCAGAGCTCTATGCGGGGCTCTATCCCACGACCCATGAGATCATATCCTGAGCTGAAACCAAGAATCAGACATGTAACCATCTGAGCCACCCAGGTGCCCCTATTTTCTTTTTTATTGAAGTTTTGCACTAATGTAAACAAGGTCTCAATATCTGTAGATCTATGAAATTCATGTTGGTTAAATTCACGGTCTCTGAAGCCAGTCCATTTCTGCAACGTGTTTCTGCCTCAGAGTTCTCATCTGTAAAATGAGACTGATGATATCATCCTCCCATTTAAAAACCTTCCATAGATTTCCACTGATTTTAAGATACTATTTAAACCCCTAATCATAGCCAAAAGTCCTACATAATCTTTTTGCTACCTTTATTTCTTCATCCCTTTTCCACACTACTATGTCTGTCAGTCACTACTTTTGAGCAACACTAGCCTTCCTTGAGTTCCGATAATGCATCAAAATTTTCCTCACTTTGAGGCCCTCACTCTTGCTGTTTCTTCCACTATGAACGCTCATTTAATTTTTTCCTATTCACTCTTCAGAACTCAGCTTAAAGAACTTGTTACAGGGATTCCTTCTTCACCCCTTTTATTTAGTTAGAGTTCACAGCCCTTTATCCTCTTACTCTCCTCTTAATCATAAAACAATTTACATAATTTTCCTATATCTGCTTTCCTCACCAGGGCAGGATTATTCCTAGGATATTTACCTTTGTTTCACTAGCTCCCAGCCTCCGCTCAGTACATAGATTAAAAATGGTAAGGATTGGGTCAAAAAGAACAGGTTTATGTATCTGGCCACTGCGGTCATTAAGTCAAAGACACACAGATGTATGTGCATTTTGCATTTATGCTTATTAATTACATTTTTATATATGCAAGTGCTATTTTTGTATATATCTATAGCTATAATATTAAGCAGACACAGTTCTATGACAGTCATAGATCTAATTAAGGATTGGGATTATTTGCTCTTTAAACAATTACTTGAGTTATTTTTTGCTTGAATTCAATTGGTCTTTTAAAAAAGTACATTTGGAGGGTATTGGTAAACCTATACTCACTTTGAATAACAATTCTTATAATAAAATAAGAATCAAATACTTACTCGTAAGTCATAGGCCTTGTGAAAGCAGCCGTGAAACAATGGATCAATTGGAAGAGAAAAAGAAAATCAATTTAAAAATCAAATGGCTTTGAGTTATTCTTATTCGATCTAATGCTACTTACCTATCAAAGTTAAGATATACACAAAAAAGAAAAATATATATATGTGTGTTTTTTTTTTAAATATCAACTAAGCATTGCAAACACTTAGGACTTTTTAAGTAAAAAAAATTAAATATTCAAGGAACACACATGTTAGTCAAAACTAGTTGTTACTAATAAACTATTTTTTTAATTTAAATTCAATTAGCCAACATATAGCACATCATTAATTTCAGATGTAGATTTCAATAATTCATCAGTTGCATATAGTACCAGGTACTCATTGCATCAAGTGCCCTCCTTAATGCTCATCACCAGTTACCCCATCCCCCCCCGATGCCCCTCCCCTCCAGTAACCCTGTTTGTTTCCTATAGTTAAGAGTCTCTCACGGTTTGTCTCCCTCTCTGGTAACTTCCCATTCTTTTCTAGACCAAATCCTTTCGATTTATGGTTCCTGGTCTATAGTACTTCTTTGCAGATACACACTCAAAGCCCTGGGGCACCACAAGTCTCTGGTCCCTTTATTGTAACAGATCGCATTGCTTAAAGGAGAGGAGGGGCCTAGATCTTCAGCAGGTGGCACCAAAGGCCCAGGTATTGCCATCTCTACTGCTAAAAATGTGTCAACCCTTTAACTCAACTGGATAGTTAAAAATCAAATTTGTAGAAACACCAAAACATGTTAATAAGGAAAGCCAGACACAAAAGAGTACATACTCTATAATCTCATTAATATGAAATCCAATAGCAGAAAAAAATTAATTTTTAATATGACAAATCAGAATATCTTTACCTGGAGGTACCGGAGAAAATTGAATGGAAAAAGCCACAGAGGTGATATTCTGTATCTTGCTTAGGGCTATCCATGTATATAGAACAGTCAAAATCACCAAACTGAACAGTTAAGATGGTGCATTTCATTGTATGATAATTACACACCTTTCTCTTATATATTTGTAGTTATAGATATGCCATCAAAAGAAATCATACCCCCCAAAAGAGAAGAAAGCTGTTCTGCTAAAAATTAAACCGATGACTAATGCCTTATTGATGTAAGTAGGATGCACTTCTTTAGTTCCTGTTATAATCATAGTTCACATACCCATTGGGATCCTTTTTCTTCCAGTTTGCCAAGACACAGTCTGCATAAACCAGAATAGGAGGCAGACCCAGCTTCTCAGAGAGTTTACAGTAAGGAACAGCAATATTCTCTGGCAAGACCTAATGAAAACACAAAATTTAGTATTAACCTTTGAAGTGTCTTCCCTTTCCTTCTGCTTCCTGCTACCTTCCTGCTATTTCTTCTGCTACCATTCCAACTGCTCTGTTAGTGCTAAAAGATGAGCTGTTCTACATAACCGCACTCTGAAAGCAAACAATCGTAATTTTCTCTTCCTCATTTCATAACTTAGTCCTGGTAATTATTAAATGTTTATGTTTTAGACGTAGGTTGATGTGGACATAATCTAGTCAGAGAGAGAGCAAAAGGAGGTAGAGGGTACGAGGAACAAAGGATGCATCCTTGACTTTCTAATGGCCTGGGAGTTACTTGCAGTCATTTATTTATTCGTGCATCCATCCCATGAATATTTGTTAGGCAACTATGCAAGAAGCTCTTTATCTACAGGCAATACGAGGATAAAATCAATTGTCTCCAAGAAATTCAAAGTCACTTGTAATTAGGATTTGGGGATATGATACATACTTGGAGCAGAGTGCTGACAGAAACTCTCTCCTGGATGATTTTTTAGAAAACCTTGCCATAGAGTGACGTTGGCGCTCATCCTTGAAGAATTACTTGGGTCAGCAGGATCTCCTTTAGCCTTTCTATTTCCATGCAGATTATATCAATTGGAGGGACACTCTTGGCTCTTTCACTCACCCTTCCTCAGAGGAGGTATAGAGGCTTATCTAATTGTTGAGTGTGGGAGTGGGACTGCAGCTCAGCAAACTTTGTATTCAACTCCTTTTTTTCCTGAGCCTATTACTCGGGATTCTGCTCCTTATCTGGCCACACCCTAAAAGGTTCCTATCTCCCTGGGCAATCCTGAAGGATAAATGCTTACCTAGCAGGCCCATTGTTGCCACACATGGAAGCCATGTTTTCCAACTGCTCTATTAGTCATAATGCTGACCATTTATTCTTTATCTGCCTGACTTCCTCATCTAACTATCATTTGGTTTATAACTAGATGGTCCCATGTAATAATTAAGGTTACCCTTGTCATTAGAAGCCAATGGTTGGAATATGTGTATCTAATCAGGCAAAGGACAGGGATGTGTAGCTCATCTGGAGTAGTGGGCAGTGGGACTGCAGTGGTAGAGGTGGTATGACAATGTGGCCCACTCCACAGTTCTGCAAAAATCATGGGAGCTATAACCTAAGTGGCTTTGTATTAACTTAATACATCTGGTTTAACAAAGATGGTTTAACAAAGAGAACAAAATGTTAGAAGGAGAAACATTGGCTATCAAAGTAACACCTGGATGTGTGCTTCCCTTTGCAGAGCTTGTGCCTCTGGGAATTGAAATATTTTGGTTTGCAAATGATTTACACGTTTCAAAAGGAAATTTTTGCCTCTTTCTGATTTAAAAAAAAGATCAAAGGGAAACAAAAGAAAGTTTGCTTAATTAAAAAGTTAATTTAAAATGACTTGGGAAAAAGAAAAGAGATATTCAAACACATCTTTATTAGAAACATGCAGTAACTAAGAAACTCAGATGCTAGTTTCTAGCCCAGTCTGAAGCAAATTGTGCCTTATACTGATGTATCTTATTTTTTATCCATTTATTTTTCCTTCCTACAATTTCCTCACTTAAATATATTTGTTGCTGGCTTCTAAAATCCTTTTTGGAATAATGTGGTATACAAAAACTAGATAAATTAAAAATATATACTCGTGTTTTCTTTTATAATTCTGACCTCCACTTGCATAAATTTATTATCTTTTGATTATCCCATGTACATTTTGGTCTCCGTATTATTTTTTGCTGGTCCTTTCCCTTTTCTGCTCCTCTCCTCTTTAGATAAGCTCTACCAATCTTTCAAGAAATAGTTCAGGTTCCACTTCTTTGAAGTATTTCGTTATTATACCAACTACTCTCATGCTTCTGCACCTAGCACATGCTGCCCTTTGTTATTGATGATTTTTCTATACAATGTCTACACATTTAGCTAGACTCAGATTCTAGCAAGTCTAGTGAGGCTTTGTGCTTAGGTTGTCCGGCTATCTTATACCTTTTTGTGTAATCAAAATTCTAGATGTGATAGTTTGATAATTATCAAAAAGTATAAGATGTTCCCATGATTATGCAGAGCAACTTTTTCCTTTTGTTTCCATATCAGGGGATGACACATCACATAGGTGGACAATATGTGTTGTATATTTAAACAGGATGTGGAAAGAAAAACAAGATAAAATTCTAATTACCTTTGTCAAAAAGGGGAAAAATATTCCCTAAATGACAGAAGATGCTTCTGGAATCTATTTTATCTCTTTGTGGTTTAAAGAGTTGGTATTACAGTCTGTATTGGTTTCTTGTAATTAGGGTTGCCAAATAAAATACAAGATTTAAAATAGTATTTTAAATCTAAAGTTATCTGCTGTTGATGAGAATAGAGGGAAACCCATATGTTCTTCCAAGTTGACAGATGTAAGATAGCATTTTAACACTAAGAAAAGCCATAATATGTTCATATCTCCCACAACTCATAAATAGAGAAAATGTTTCATATTCAAATATGTTGATTATCGTGTTATTTACAATGGTAAAATATTAAAAACAAATACAGTATTTATCAATAGAGGATTGAATAAATAAAGTTCAGGAACTCAATGAAAAACTATAAAGTGATTTCAAATGATGACTGAAAGGATTGTGTAATAACTAAGAAATGCTTACAGTAAATTTCAGTGAAAGACACAGAATGTACATCTATATACACAGGCTGGAACAAGGGTGTTACATAAATAAGAGATTAAAAATCCAACAATGACAGCAGTTGGCATGTTAAATCAGTGAATGATTGTTTTCCTTTTCATTTTTTTCTGTTACCCAAGCATCACAAAATCTAGTTATAATACTTTTAGAATGTTTTTTACATTAAATTGGATGTAAATTGTCATGTAGCCTAAGAAATACCAAAAAATCTTCAAACCTTTCGAACATCTCCATCACCTTGATTCCACACGTATGCCATGGTGATATACCCCAGGGCCAGATGGGCAAGGCGCTGCGACTTGTGATCTCTGAGGGCATCAATACTGTGATTTTTTAACTGAGAATAAAAGAGAGGTTGACTCAAATCAATACAGGTGACAGCACAGCTTCAAAGCCAAGGTAAAAATGTTAAGAAGCTATAATAGAGGAAGACGAATGTAATGCTTTTCCAAACCTGGTCAACTTTTTTACGTAGTTCATTTTTCTCAATCAGTTCAGGCAGATTTTTAGCGATGCAAATCCATTCATCATAAGGCGGAGGTAGCTCCTCCTTGAAAAAAAGAAATGGGACTTTTATTTAGTAGCGAAAATTTTTACAAAGCAGTTTTGCTTCTGACTGATAGTCTATTTTGCCTCTAGATCAGTTCTGTGCAACGCTGTCCTGTCACACACTTACCTGTCCAGTAACTCCGATCCCTGCATTACCACCTTCACACCCAGGGCTCGTGACCTTCTTTTCTTCTCCTCAAACACTCTTACCTGCCTCTTTTTCACAGGTCACCTCAAAAGTTCCACTAAAATCATCCTGATTATTCCAGGCTACACTTACAACCTCAATTATGCATCCTATGCATTATACCTTTACATTGTTAAGTAATTTATTGTTACCTGCTATTTATTTTTTTCCTGGCTAAATTCTAAGTTTTTTTGAATGGAAAAAAATGAGATTTATTAGATGTCAGCAATAGACTAGGCATTTTGCTCAATAAATATTTAAATATTATAATGACCTAAAATGTTGATTGTTATCTCCATTTCGTAAATAAGGAAAATAAAACTCAGTTAATGAAGTTGTTTTGAATATATAGTTTGTTGTGAATGAACGTTTGTTTCCACCTTTGAAAAAGCTCTTTTAAAATCTCACTACGTGATGGCAAGGATTTTATCATGCTTTTAATTTTATATTTCTTACAGAACCTGGGACAGTACTGGACATGTAGGAGATACTGTATATTTACATATTGATTGCTTGCTTTGGTACTATAGGCTTATATTTCACCCAGTAAGTGCAAATAAAAGCCAAACAAAAGTGTCTCCTTGGATTTTATTATATTTATATTTTCATCTCAAGGGAAAACATGCAAACAAAAGACCTAGACAACATCCTGAAATGAGATTCAGATCTCTGAACAACTTCCCATATGCTCTTTCCCCATGCCTCCTTCATTAAGCTGTTTCCAGACATGTCCTTGAGGTCATCCATACTGAACTATGGAGACATAGCAAAAATAAAGAGATCAACTCACACCAACGTGGGTGAAGTTTTAAGCTACAAAATGAAGCTAATATTATAAGTAAGCTATAAGACAAAAATGTAACATAAAATTCAAACATTTTCACCTGCTGCATATAATCGGCCAGGCTTTGTCCGTTAGGGCAGATGTTTAACAATGAAAGATCCAAGCACTAGATAGTCACCTTTCTTGTTTCTCCTAATTTTTCTCCCTAACCACACAAATGCTATCGTCTAGTGTTTTTAGTAATACATATATCTTTTTTTTGTTGTGTGTTTTACTATGTAGCACAACTGAATTTTTGGTTGTTACTATTTTCCCCAAATAATGGAATTTTTGTTGTTGTTATATATCATGATTAGCCTATTTGACAGATGTAAAATTCAATCAGTAATATACTTCTAGTTCAGGGACGCCTGGGTAGCTCAGTCGGTTAAGCATCTGCCTTCAGCTCAGGTCAGGATCCCAGGGTCTGGGATTGAGTCCCGCATCGGGCTCCCTGCTCAGCGAGGAGCCTGCTTTTCCCTCTGCCTGCCGCTACCCCTGCTTATGTCTCTCTCTCTCTCTCAAATAAGTAAGTAAATAAATAAATAAAATCTTTGGGCGCCTGGGTGGCTCAGTCGTTAAGCATCTGCCTTCGACTCGGGTCATGATCCCAGGGTCCTGGGATCGAGTCCCACATCGGGCTTCCTGCTCTGCAGAGCCTGCTTCTCCCTCTCTCACTCCCCCTGCTTGTGTTCCTGCTCTCGCTATCTCTCTCTCTGTCAAATAAATAAATAAAATCTTTAAAAAAAAAATCTTTAAAAAAAAATATATATATACTTCTGGTTTGGAGGGTGTTTAAATGGTATAATATGAATCAATGAAGAATAACACAGAGGGTCGTTCAACTTCTGCTAGATTAGAGAATGTATTTTGTATCTATGTGGAACTGGAAGACACATTATTTTCCTTTGGAATAGAAAGCTGATAGATTATAAGAGGTGAAATGGATATTTTTGAGTTTATAATTTCCAAGAAAGATCTTCAGTGAAGAAATAAAAGTATCCCCTAATTTATTTTTGTTTCAGGACATGATCGAACTTCCTAAGCATCTTAAGTAGCAACATTGTTTTTTAAGTAGTTCAGGAACGGTTTCATTTTGCTTTGGTTTGAGGGTTTTGCTTTACCCCTTGGGATCTATTCTAGAGGTCTCTGTAACGATCATAATGTCTTAATTTTTAAGAGAACTTACTGTGGGGGAAAAATGATACGAGGTTTCACAGTTTCTGAAAAAGAGTTTTGTTCTTGTACCACTGATAAGTACATTTTCAAAACCATCTTATTCTGGCACTTTGGTGTGCTTGAATGGAGGAGTAACAAGTCTGAGTATTACTGATTTGCAAATATAAGGTAAACTAGGTACTTTTAGCAATACATTAAATTAACTTAATAATTTGAAGAGAAGAATTAGATTGGGAGGAAGAATTTGCTTTAGATTTGCCTGTATTATATAAGGTATTTACAGAATGTTATCTCTAAGTACAGTTAAATTGGATCTCTACTAAAAATATATTTGCTGCATTTACAGATGCCCTCTAGGGGTGCCTGGGTGGCTCAGTCAGTTGAGTGTCCAGCCCTTGGTTTTGGCTTAGGTCATGATCTCAGCGTAGTGAGATCGAACCCTGTATCAGGCTCTGGGCTTAGTGGGGAGTCTGCTTCAGATTCTCTCTCCCTCTGCGCCTTCCTCGCTCATTGTCTCTCACTCTCTAAGATAAAAGATGTCCTCTAGAATACAGACTTTGTTTGGGCTATAATAAATAGATATATACTTGTATATAGAATTGTCACAACATGTAACTGGTTCCTAGAAATCATATGGAATTTCATGAACCTTATTAAACCCAAAAGTGGTGTAGGGAAGAAGCAATGCCTTATGATATCTTCTTCTCTCTCTCTTTTTAAGATTTTATTTATTTGACAGAAAGATAGAGAGAGAGCACAGATAGGCAGAGTGGCAGGCAGAGGGAGAAGCAGGCTCCCCGCTGAGCAGGGGGCCCAATGCGAGGCTCGATCACAGAGCCCTGGGATCATGACCTGAGGCGAAGGCAGACACTTAACCGACTGAGCCACCCAGCGTCACAATATCTTCTTCTCTTAAGAGAAGCAGCATATTATAATAATTTTAAGGGCATGGACTCTGGAGCCAGACTAGTCAGGTTCACATTCCATCCCTGTCATTGCTAGCTGTGTGAGTTTGGGTAATTACCTAAATTCTGCCTGGCTTAAATTTCTCATCAGGAAAATTTAGGATAACTTTTAGGATGGTTGTGAAGATGCAGTAAGAATATTTGTAAATTGCTTAATGATGCTATATAAATATTTAATAATTGAAGTAGATAATAAGATGGTTTTCATGGCATTCTTTGGAATACAACTTAGAAAAATGTAGTTTTAAAGGCAAACATTTACTCTACATGTCTTGCTATTTGTAGGCAAAGCTTGTAAAAAGAAAAAAAGCTAGCTTAGACTCACTTGAATCTTATGCTTAGTAACAACAAGCAGTATTAATACAACACACAGTTGCTTGATATACCATCTCAAAAACCTAATCAAAGCAGTAACATACACCTCCTACAATTTAAGGTATATCAGCCAAGAAAGGGGTTCCTTTGACTCATGGATCATTTATTACTTTGGTTTTTTCAAAATGCCCTCCAAAAATGCAGTTGTATTAAACCAAAATACTTCTATAGTTTCCTTATCTCATCACTTTCCTTATCTGCATAAGGTAGCTAAAAAGTGCATTTAATACTAAATTTCTAGGCAAAATTTTAAGTATGAAATATTTATTAAAACTCTGCCTCTAATTTTGGCACTGCTTTATCCATTTGTTTAGTAAAAATTACTGAACTACATTTGTTCAATAGAAGTAAACTTGTCCAGGTAAGCAATGATAATAAAACATTTTTGCCCATATCTTAGTGCCCCATCTTACCAGTGGATTTGGCAGAGCGAAGCCCACCTCTTCATCTATATGGTATTTTTCAAAAATTTCCGGAGAACTTTCCATAAGAAGTCTATTATGTGCCATCCTTGCAGTTTCCTCCTTTGGTCCTGCTTTGTTTGATGGGGTTTCAGAGCATCTGTTCATTATAAAGGTTGCCATAGCCAATGACCACAAACTTACCACGTAGGCAGTAAGAAATGACTTCCACTTTTGGAATAGTTTCATTTTCTTTCTTTGTAATTTGATAAACAATAAAACCATGAAAGCATCACTATTCATCATAAGAAGAAACTGAAAGCTTATGTTCCTATGAAATGTTTATCAGTGGGAATAGCATCTGTTTACTCCCATTGGGGAAGTCAGAAAGAAACTGAAATAACAAAAACAATGAAAAGAGGTAACCAGAAAAAAACATGTTTTATGGGACCTTTTAAATCTTTGAATTAAGATAATGAATTTGACCTGGCTCAAGTCCTAAACTATCATTTAGTCAGCACTGTCATTGGTTTTCCTTAAAATCTCCAGGGTTCTATGAAATATCAGTGTCTTATTTCGGCAGCCATAAAATGCAACCTGTGGTACATTGAACTATTAGTCAATGACTCTGAACTAGAAAAGAAGTGGAAGCACATGAGGAATTAAGGTTGTACCCCTCTACACCCCCATTTTCTTACCCAATCTTTTATCTGTGCTCACAATGATAACAGTTCTTTCTTCTTCTTATTCCTGAGTCCTTTTAAGGAAGACTTTTCTGCATCTCTACTATATTTGACTGCTAAGGACTGATGATGAGGCAACAGTCTTTCACATTTGGAGAATTTGTGATGTGTTACAAGTTTAAATAAAGGATTAAATACCTTGAAAATCTTTCTTTCAAAATGCAAATTAAAATTGCATTTGGTAAAAGTTTTTGAGGGTGCATGCAGTTCTGTGGTCCCTTACAGGCATTGTTTGATCTTAATAAAGCTGAAGCAAAAGCAGAAACCAGGAGTTAGTGTTCAGTACATTATAAGAATGCTGTTCTGTCATCCAGCTTAACAGTACTTGAAATCACTTTTATTGGTGCATGACTTTGCATTCTAGAATAGTTATCACACTATTCTTTCCTATTACATCATGAGTTGTTTTTCGTTTTTAACATGTAGTTTTATAAGAATATGGTCTCTTTATGATAAAAGTAAGAGAAATTGAAACCAAAATTATACAGCAAAGAGAACACTTGGCTATGCTTCTTCAAAATGAATGATTACTTATGCTGATATTTCTGAAACCAGGCCCAAGGCAAAAGAAACAAACAAAAAAAAGTATCATGTTGGGTTATCATATCTATATGAAAGCCAAAAATTCCAAAAAACTTTTAAGAATTAGAGAACGTGTTATTTCTATGGTTTTTCACTCTTTGTACCTGAATTTTTTCGTGGGTGAATCAAAACAGATACATGTAATGGAGTTTCAGATAATTCTGTCTTGGAAAAGTTTCTGAAGGTTGATTTGTTTTTTAAGAAGCATGGCTTGATAAAAACTTCTTGACTCTGCTTATCCAACTACTTCATTAAATTTGTCCTACTTTTGGGGGGGTTGGGTGGCTCAGTTGGTTAAGCATCCAACTCTTTTTTTTTTTAAGATTTTTATTTATTTAACAGAGATAGAGAGCACAAGCAAGCAGAGCTGCAGACAGAGGGAGAGGGAGAAGCAGGCTCTCCACCAAGCAGGGAGCCCGATGCGGGGCTTGATCCCAGGACCCTGGGATCATGACCTGAGCCTAAGGCAGCCGCTTAACCGACTGAGCCACCCAGGCGCCCCAAGCATCCAACTCTTGACTTTGGCTCAGGTCGTGATCTCAGGGTCATGATCTCATGGTGGTGAGATTGAGCCCCACTTCAGGCCCTGCGCTCAGTCCTCTGCCCCTTCCCATTCTCGTGCGTGCTCACGCACCTTCTCTCTATAATAATAAATAAATAAATAAATAAATAAATAAATAAATAAATAAATCTTTAAGAAATCCATCCTACCTTTGACTGCAGAAACAATAATATTTTAGTATCCTACTTTCTTCTCTGCTTATTTATCTCTATCTACACACTTTTACCCTTTTCATATTTCTTTTTTTTTGCTTGTTTCCACTGCATTTATTACTAATATAAAAAAATGTTAAAAAGAAAAAAAATCATTCTCAATTCTCCGACTCTCATCCTTCCGTCTTGCCCACACAACTCTTGACCCATTTCCTCAGGGCCAGTTCAAAACCAAACCTGTTCACTGCTGTTTTCACAGAAAACAACCAGTGCCAGGGATGTAGGGAAGAAGGTTAGATGTGGGTGACAGTACTGTCCAGGTTCCACCCAAAGGTAGGCTGGGTGGAGATTCACAGAATTCAGACGAAAGGGCTGGTGGCCTCACAAGGACATACTCTAACTAAAGTGGGCTGGAGAGGAAATAGCGTAGCCCATCAGAGGCTTCAGGGGACATCTCATGGGCTTGGGTCAAACCCAGAAAAACCGACACCAGGAGAATGGGGAGACCAGGGAGGCAGTCCTGTGGAAAGTTTCACAACTCTCCCATGTTGGGAGGTGTGGAAAGTCTAGAGGGCACCAAGAGCCTCACTCATTTTGGCAGAAAAACTTACTCTACTGTTGGGAAGTCACAAAGAGGCCATGGACACTGAGAAAGGCTACGTATGAGGGGATGCACAGTTTCACAAAGCGCAGTGATCACAGACCAGAGCAGTGGGGATCATGCTACTGACGGAGAAACTACAAAATCCAAAAGCAGGGAGAGTGGCCTTTCAGGGAGTAACTCTGCACCAGTCATCCATACTTGACCCCAGGTCAACCTGGTGAGTTTCACAGAGCAACTGGCAACTTTGGGGGTAGGGGCCGTCACATGAAAAGGACTTAAAACAAGCGGCTAGAAGAGGAGAATGGTAGGAAACTGCTCCAGGGCTCTCAGGAATTGAGGGCAGTACCGGGGGCTGGGTGGACAGATGCACAAGAAACAGCACCAAAGAGGTTTCCTGCTCAGCAGTCAGTTGGCGAGGGGGAAGAGGATCCAGTAGGCAGTTGAAGGGAGCAAAGATGGGGTCCTGAAGGCGAGTCTCTGGAGGCTGGATCAGAAGAAAGCCCACACACTGGGTATCAATGATGAAACACAGCTCTGGACCCCAAATTGGGGAGTTGGCGGATGGGGGTGGGTGTCACTGACTGAGGGTGGTGGTGGAACAGACTCACAGTAGCCATCACAGGGCCACAGGGAAATACATGGCCGCTAGGTCAGAGGGCTCCTTCCAGCCTCGATGGGAAGGCACAGTCTCACAGAGGAGATCCATTGATGTTTGAGTGGTAGAAGGCACAGAGGTCCTCATATCGACAGTGGCCCTTTTTGGCAAAGTGTCGGCAGACAGGGCGGTTGGATTTGTCTTCCACAACTTGGGGGCCATCCTTGGGTGGGCAGGTATTTTTGATAAGAGACCAACTTTTGAGCCTTCGAGGATTTCTCTGCTCTTTGTGAAAGCCTCCCCTGGAAGGACCCCCATGGCCTGGTCCAGGAAAAGTAGGTTCAGTATTGGCCCCCCACCAAACATGACTATATGGGCCACACCTGGGGCCTAGGCCTCCCGGAACTGGGCCTCTGCCCCGGGGAGGAGGTGGGATACTCAGCAGTGGTGGAATCATTGGTCCCCTTGATCCTGGAGGACCTCTGTGAAGAGAGTCTGCATTCTTTTCTGTCTGGCTCCTTTCGCTCAACATCGTGTTTGTGAGAGTCATCCAGGTTGCCTGTAGCAGGAGTTTGTTCATTTTCATTGCAGTGTAGTATCCCATTGCATGCACACACAACAACTTATTTATCCATTCTACTGATGGTGGACATGTGGGTGGATTCCAGTTTGGGGCTGACTTAGGGTCACCAGGCTTTTCAGTGGCCATGGGGGGAGGGCCCAGAAGGCTGGGTGGTCCAATGGGACTCCCATCCTCCTCATCTCCAGTCTCTTCCCGCTCTGGCAGTGGGGGCTGCTGCTGATTCTGCTTCTTTCATTTCGGCATCGTGGTTGCGGCAATGGCTGTAGCGGGATTTGGAGGGCTACCCTTTTCATATTTCTGAAACTACATTCTCAATTGATCCTCAGTCCTCATTTATCTTGATTTTTCTTCAGTAATAACCATATCTCATTGAAAATCCCTTTTCACATGGTGTCAAAAAAACACTTTTTAAATTTTTTTTTAAACTCTGAAGTCAAGACTTGAGCAAGATCAAGAGTCAGATGTTTAATGAACTGAGCCACCCAGGCACCGCTTCAGAAAAACATCTTAATCTTACTATCATCTATAGAGTCTTTATCATTTTCTTTAGCTTTTTACCTGTGGCCAGGTCATTGTGAAAGAAAGCTCCTGAAAGTCAAAACTCAGCATTTTGATCTATAGCCTCCCAGCTCTGACAGATATGAATCAATCTGCCTTATTTATATCACCTGTTTTGATGACTTGGTCATGTACTGCCTGACTTATCTCCACGGCTATAAACTACATTTCCAATTGACTGGTGAACATTTCCATCTGGAAATCCTGTTATCTTGTTTCATAGGCACAATACCAGAACTATTGTGAATAGACCTACAAAAGGACTTTTATTCAGGACCATGATAAACACAAATTTTTTCCCTGATAACATGTGATCATATATGATAATCCAAGTTTCTCTTTGCCATTATGTTATGCTAGTTTATGTAAAGAGTAGCTTTGCTTTAAATAAGATTTTTCAGTTAAAAAAGTAAAGTGATTAAGAGCATACAAGAAGAATGAAGAAATATTGAAATATCAATATCCACTGACATTCACCATTAATGTTTTGGTGATTATGTTTTCTATGTATTTTTGTTTACATTAATAATATAAAAAATTTTCTGAGCACTTATTTGTGTCAGGAATTTTAAAATTTTGTTTATAGGGGCGCCTGGGTGGCTCAGTGGTTGAGCGTCTGCCTTTGGCTCAGGTCATGATCCCAGAGTCCTGGGATTGAGCCTCGCATCTGGCTCTCTGCTCTGCGGGAAGCCTGCTTCTCCCTCTCCCACTCCCCCTGTTTGTGTTCCCTCTCTTGCTGTCTCTCTCTCTG